TCATGGTACTTTCCTGGTCACTGCTGGCCATGCACAGAATAATGAAACATTCAAAACACCCACCACATGCGTTCTCAACTGAGGTCAAACAAGGCAACACCCTGCTTTCTTGTCTCAGCTGGCATACTGTAAACAAGTATCCTTCCTGCAGTATATTTAGTGCCATGCTTTTCATTGATGAATTCACTGTTTAAATGGTGCCCACAAGTAGAGCTGAAGTGCTGTCTAGTGTTCCTAGGCACAAGAAGATAGTCATATGTCTCACGGAGAAAATATATGTTAGAGAAGCTTGGAGGCTGGGCATAGTGGCTCACGCCTATAATCCCAGCACTTTGGGAGGCCGAGGTAGGCAGATCATGAGGTCAACAGATCAAGACCATCCTGGCCAACGTGGTGAAACCCCGTCTCTACTAAAAATACAGATATTAGCTGATGTGGTGGCACACACCTGTGGTCTCAGCTACTTTGGAAGGCTGAGGCAGTAGAATTGCTTGAGCCCAGGAGGCAGAGGTTACAGTGAGCCAAGATCGCGCCACAGCACTCCAGCCTGGCAACAGATCGAGAGTCCATCTCAAAAAAAAAAAAAAGAAGCTTGGTTCAGGCATAAGTTAATATGGCTGTTGTCAGTAAAGTTCAACGTTAATGAACCAACAACATGTATTAAATAAGGTGTCTTTAAACAGAAAGCCAGGCATAGTAGCTCATACCTGTAATCTTAGCCCTTTGGGAGGCCAAGGTAGGAGGATCATTTGAGCCCAGCCTGGGCAACAAGTGAGACCCCATCTCTACAAAAAATTTTAAAATTAGCCAGGTATGGTGGCATGTACGTGTGATCCCAGCCACTTGGAAGGCTGACACAGGAGTATGCCGGATCCCAGGAGTTCCAGGCTGCAGTGGAACAGTAAACAATAAAGATTTCAAATTTATAAAGAGCCACTCCAGTATTCTAATTTAACCTTCAAAAATAAAGATGACCTAAAGCACCACGAACTGACAATTCCATTCCACCTCAACACCTTGTGCTCCTGAGTTATGATGAGCACAGACTGCAACCCAATTCAACTCATGTTCCAAAATGCAACAAGCAGCTTCAACAGGACACGCTGGAAGCAGCAGCACGTCTCATCGTTTACTGATTCATATTTTGGTAGCAAGGTTACAATTAGCTCACCGGTGGAGAATAAACCTATTTATAACCCAGCAGTCCACCTGAAAGACATAATCATCTAAAAAGGTTCTTAGAGGAAAATAAAGTGCAGGTTCTTCCTGTACTGATTGCAGATTCCCAAGGTCCTTTTGGATAAAGTCCTCAGTCTCACCTTCCTGTGTTCACAGTCACCATTCTGGCCACTTCTCAGCCTCCATGTTCTTATGTAACATTTACATAGTGCCATAAACATTCCCAGAGTTGCGTAAGAATTAAAACGTTGCCAAACCAATAAAGCCTAAAGCAGGTCACTCCCTCCAGACTGTCTTTGATTAGCACAGGTATGCTGCCTAGTTGAGGAAGAGCCTGCCAGAGACAGAAATTAACTTGGGGAAATCTGAAAGGGGTCTACAAAAAAGCACAAAAGAAAATTAGCCACACTGTGACATGCTGTACATCTATCAATCACAGAGTATGTTTTTCTGCTCCCTAAGATAAAAAAGTAACTCAACATTGCTTATTCACTGAAGTCAGAAACCGTGTCTAAAAATACCTCCCTGCCAACTGGCTATCAGTAAGTCAGTCTCACAAATGTCCCAATAAGAGTGACATAAAATATTTCCTTATTTTACAGAGGGAAAACTGAGGCAGTCACAGAAAGGTTAAGTTACTTGTTCAAGGACAACTTGTAAGGAAGCTAAGTTCTTTTTTTTTTTTTTTTTTTTTTTGAGACGGAGTTTTCGCTCTTGTTACCCAGGCTGGAGTGCAATGGCACGATCTCGGCTCACCGCAACCTCCGCCTCCTGGGTTCAGGCAATTCTCCTGCCTCAGCCTCCTGAGTAGCTGGGATTACAGGCACGCACCACCATGCCCAGCTATTTTTTTTGTATTTTTAGTAGAGACGGGGTTTCACCATGTTGACCAGGATGGTCTCGATCTCTTGACCTTGTGATCCACCCGCCTCGGCCTCCCAAAGTGCTGGGATTACAGGCTTGAGCCACCGCGCCCGGCCAAGGAAGCTAAGTTCTAGGGTTGAAAACCAGCCTCCTCCCTCTATCTGGCTCTAACCTTAACCAGAGTAGCCATTTTAATGTTTTATCACATCTGTTCCAGGAGCTGTTTAAACAAAACTAATGAGAGATCCTCTACAAGACTGCACTTCCACTGTACTTACAATCCATGTCCACTCAACGAAACTACAATGCTTGGCTTGAAATTAGATTTTTAGTCTGCTCACAAAATTTCAAAATGTTCCTATGAGAATGTCAAATGTCTTTTTTGTTGCTTTTGTCTTAAGAAATGAATGTCATGTTCTCTTGCTACTAATTCAATTTTACATTTTTAAATACTAATGTGAAAATTCCAAAGCCAGGCCTTAAAACATGTACCCCTATCATAGGAATGCTATTTCTAACTAAAACTCATTCTCCTTATCACTGGCCTTTTACTAAGTCCCAGTTAATTCATTAATGAATAGAAATGCCTATCCCTTACTGCCCTCACAACATGTTCAAGTATCAGGCATCAGAGCTGCCTGACTCTGTCACTCCTCCAGCCGACGAAGGGGAGCACTATATAGGAAATGCAGGGGAGGGGGAAAAAAAAAATCAACTTCTTGTTATCCCACAGCCTCTATTTTCCCAGAACTGACGTTTTACTTTAAGCCTTTTGCAGCAGTGGTCTCCATAGCATGCACTATTGGCAACTAGACGTGTCCCGGAAAAAACTGTAGTGTCTGGCCAAGAAGTTTAAAGGCCCTAGAGAATGTTTGCTGGACACACAACCTAATTTCCAATTTACCAAAAAAAGAAATGAACTCCCTATTTTACCCACCCACCTTAACCCCCTCAAACACCCAGTTGAGGAAGGTTACAAAAAAATGAACTCTGCCCTATTCAGAACCAGTTGGATTATCAGTTAAACATTCTTAGCTAGGCTTATAACCAGAGAAGCCCCACAAACACTACATCAAATCAGCAGGGAAATGACTGTTAAAAATCCTGGATATATTAGGCGCAGGATAAAAATTCCTATGCGAGGAATGTAAAGATTTATACATACACACATAAAATGGCAAACCTTACAGGTTAAATCTCCCCCCTTTTTTATTCCCCCAGTAGAGAACATTATGGTACACATTCCAAAAACATGGCCCTTAATAAGGCCCTATGAACATCCTTAATCATGCAAATCATTATCTCACCACAAATGTCAAGCTCTGTTCATACAGCTTCACCATGTTTCTCAAACCCCACAGCACAGACACCTAAGCCACAGAGCAGTGAGGCCGAGAACACACACGAGGTGCTTAGGAGAAGCATTAGCCTGTGAACAAAGACCCCGCTGCACAGGCTCCACCACTGGGAACAAATATCAAAGCCGGAGATAATAAACTTGTTTTTGAGACTCCAAAGTGGCATAGTGTCTCTTCTTGACTGTCTGGTTTATGAAAGACGACTGAACCCACCTGAGAATCATTATTTTTAGTGGCGAGAAGAGCCACAGAACACACCTGATCTCCCACTGCTGGAAGGTTAGGGGCTGCTGAGAAGTCAGAGCAGCAGGCTTTGTACATCAGGAGCGAATACAGTCCTGATCCTCTCTCCCAGATCCATCTGTGGGTCAATAATCGCTTCAATATAACTGCCAAATATAACCTTCATCTGCTACCCCAAGGCCAAAACACATTCGCCACGACTCTCTTAAATGAAATATTTTAGGGTTTCATCTGCTCTTCTCAGCCCCCCAAAGCCTCATAAACAACACAGCCAGCAGAGTGTCCCGCAGAAAGGTACCCGCTTCCACAGAGAGGAGGGTGGGGATTGGAAGGTAAGGGGTGTGTAAGGGTGGGCGGACTGGGAAGAGGGATCCTGTAGGAAGGTAAATAAGTACTGACCAAGGGCCGGGGATACAGTCCAGTGGTGGGATCTTTAAATAATCTTCGGGGATTGGAGGCAGGTTCTAGGATTTCACCTGAAACGCATCCACGAAGTGATTAACTGAATGGGCCCCCCGGGGTAGGGTGGGGGAGGCGAGGCGGAAGGCAAATACACCTAGATTGAGATCAACCCTTGGGGAACTCGGTTCCATAGGGTTAGGGATTCCAAAGCCAAGCTCCAAAAAGGTTTAGGGGCCTCTTCGTCCCACTTCCTCCAAATAGCTTCCACCCGGCATGTGTGCCGGAGGGCGGCGGGCGGGCGGGCGGGCGGGCGGGGGGGGGATTGCCCCACTGAACTCAAGGGATTGAGTGAAGGGGAAATGTGACTCCCTTTCCCAGAACAGTAGGGAGGCAGGGGAGGAAGGGTAAGAAACACAAGTGCAGGACCTGAAGGGAAGGTTAGAGACCCCTTCCCCTACAGTCTGAGGTGAGCGGGCTCTCAACATCAGGATACCTCGGAAAGGCAAAGATCCCACCGCCCGAACCCCACAATCTTGGCGGGAGAAGGACGCCCCCCAGGAGCATCTGGAGAGATGGAAGAAAGCCCCCCGCCCCTGGACACAGTGAAGGGCAGAAACCATGGACCTCTAAACCTTGGGGCTGGAAGCCTAGACGCCCCTCTATGGAACACGAGGGCGCTGGAAGCGCGACCCCCGAGAGCTGCCCGAATCCAGTTCCGCCAGGAGCAGGGCTCGGGTCCCCAGGGGCCCGGCGTGAGCTCCGTCGCCGCCGGGCGGCCGCGCCTCGGAGGTTGGGGAAGCTGACTGGGGGTCACCCCGACTCCTCCGCGCCCCCCGCCCAGCCATATTGTGAGCGCGGGGAGGGGGCGCGCTGTAGCCCAGCGGCCGCGGCTCGAGGCCTCGCCCTCCCCTGGCCCTCTCCATCCCGGCCCCCGCCCCCAGCCCCGGGACTCACCCTGGATCCCCCGGGGCCCGGACCCGCCGCTGCCGGAGAGCAGGAGGACAACAAGGGGGAAGAAGGAGGAGGCTCCGGCCGACTCCGCCATAGTAACCGCCGCCGCCGTCGCCGCCGCCGCAGCCCAGCAGCGCCCAGCGCGCGCGCGCGCCTCCGGCGCCTCCCCTCCTCCCGCGGCCCGGCTCCCGCCTCCCTCTTCTCCGCCCGGCGCCGGCACGTGCGCTCCCGGCGGAGCCGGCGCCGCGACCGCCGCGCGCGCCCCCGAAGGGCGGGGCCGGGGCGCGCGCGGGCGCCCGCCTTAAAGGGGAGGGTCCCTGTTAAAGGAGTGGGCGGGGCTCGCGTCTCGGCCAACCTCGCGGATGGGTGCGGAGCCCGGCGCGGAGGAGGCCGGAGCCGAACGTGCAGTCTCCTCCCTCTCCTGCACCCCCCGCTGCAGAATTATCTTATCAGCGTCGATCCCCCGCCCCAGTCGAATATTCTACGAATCCCGTGCGTGTTCCAGTTCCTCCATTCCTGCGCCTAGGCTTAAGCCCCCGGCGCGTCCCCCGGGATCATCTCCGCGGTCTCCTAACTGGTTTCCCTTTGGCCTTGCCCGGTGCCAACCTCTGGACGCCGCAGCCTGTGAGATGGAATCGCGGCACGCTCCTTTTCAGAACATAGCGAGGCTCTTTACTGATGACGCTCAGTCTGGGTGAGGGTGCCGTGTGAGACATTCTGATTGGGCTGGTAGGTAGAACCCTTTTGGTAAACAACTGGCATTATGCTTCAAATGCCTTAAAATATTCATATCCATTTACCCAGTATTATCCCCTGTCTTCAAAAAATAATAAGAGGACAGATGTTTATCCAAAATGTTAATTTGCATATTTATCATTGTAAAAAGGTGGAAACTAAGTAGACAAACAATAGAAAATGTTAAATTATGGCCCATCCATATGATGGAACGTTATTTAATAATTTGAAATCATGCTTACAAAAAGTAATGACATGAGAAAATGTTCGCGGGATGTTAAATTTAAAAAGCAAAATGCAAAACTGTTCACAGTATGATTCAAATTGTATTGATAATATGTATTTATAGGAAAAAAAAGGCTGGAAGCATATTACCCAACAGTAACAGACGGTAGTTATTGCCAGCGTTTTTTGTTTTTGTTTTTTTTTACTTTTAACACTTCGATAATTTCTAAATATTTTTCAAATAAATGTTATTTTCAAATCTAGAAAAAAATGACTAAAAAGGTAAACAAATCACTGCATATCTTTCTGAAGAGTTCAGTTTTTCTTTTTTCTTTTCTTTCTTTTTTTTTTTTTGAGATGTAGCTTCACTCTTGCTGCTCAGGCTAGAGTACAATGGCGCGATCTCAGCTCACCACAACCTTTGCTTCCCAGGTTCAAGTGATTCTCTCGCCTCAGCCTCCAGAGTAGCTGGGATTAAAGGCATGCGCCACCACACCCAGCTAATTTTGTATTTTTAGTAGAGACGGGGTTTCTCCATGTTACTCAGGCTGGTCTCCAACTCCCGACCTCAAGTGATCTGCCCACCTCGGAGTTCAGTTCCTTTAGCTTGAGAAAAAACTTGGTATCATGGAAAGGGCCAAATTTTTGCAATCACAGAATTCTGGATCAGAATTCTGCTTCTTACTAACTAGCTGTGAAAACTTGGGCAAGGTTTGAACCTCTCTAAGCAAAGTTTCACCATCTGAGCTATACGGGCAGAAAGGACGGCCAGGAGGTAGGGGGAAAAGTTTCTTAAATTGAATTCTCACCTTCTAAGTTTCACCAACCTGAAGAACTTCCATCGCCATATCCAGAAAAAATAAACCTGAAGACACACTCGCCAGACACAGTGTACACACAATCAACACACATAAAGTCATAGGGAGGCATTGTTTGCAAGTTGGTCAATGTAGCTGGATGAGCAAATAACTCTTACTCTGCTCTCCCTCATTGCCCTCAAATAGGCACACCCCACCCCATCTATCTCAGTGGTCTGCAATCCATGCTATATGCATCCAGCTGTGGTGCACACAGTGCTAGGTTACTGTGTTAGTTTCCTACTACCAAACTGGGCAGCTTAAAATAACAAATGTATTCTCTCACTGTTCTGGAGGCTAGAAATCTGAAACCATGGTGTTGGCAGGGCCATGCGCTCTCTGAAGGCTCTAGGGAAGAATCCTTCCTTGCCTCTTTTAGCTTCTGGTGGTTCCCAGAATCTTCGGTGGTGTTCGGTTTATAGAAGCATAACCCCATGTCTTCACACGGTTATCTTCCCTTTACGTATGCATCTCCGTCCAAATTTCTCTCTTCTTATAAGGACGCCAGTCATTGGATCAGGGCCCTCCCTAATCCAGTATGAGTGTAAATGATCTTAATTGGTTACATCTGCTAAGGTCTTCGTTCCAAGTAAGATTACATTCACAGGCTCCTGGTAGACACAAGTTTTAGGGGGATGCTAGTCAATCCAGTACAGTCACCAACCCCTGCGGTTTGGAAGGAAAGCCAGCCCCTCAGGAGCACATCTCTGAAGCCAAGGGGGAGGGAGCCAGGGGTCCCAGAGGGGACCTATGGTTTCTTCACTCCTAGACAGTAAAGTCAGCCACACAGCTAAATATACAGATCAGGGAACCAGAACACGGTCCACAGACCAAATGCCACCTGTGTCAGCTCCATCAGCTCACTTGATAGCAATGGACTTTGGGCAAGGTAATTTACCTCCCTAAATCTCAATTTACTCATCTCATAAAATGGAGCTAATAATAGTTCTATGTCATAGAGATGTTAGTATTGATAAAATCTGGTAATAAAGCATTTAGCATAATCTCTGATACATAGGAAGTGATATAAAAAGAATAGCTATCATCACCATGAGTCGACCTTCACTACAATCCTATGAAATGGTTGAGGCATGTCAGAGTGTGCCCCGATGAAGCAACTGAGACCTGGAGGAGGTAAGTGATTTGCCCAGGCTCACATGCAATTCATCATTACAGCCACAGCCACTGGTCCTGCACTTTCTTCAACACCACAGCATCTCCTGCTTTTATAGGGACTGGTCTTCAGGACCCAGCTGAAGGAAAATGAGGTGAAGCGGGGAAGGGGTTAGTCATATGCCTCACAGCCCATTTGTGAGAGTTTGTGGCATCTCCAGACTAGAGCTTTCCTAGGTGATGTGTCTACTTTCCTTTTTTTTTTTTTTTTTTTTTTTTGAGACAGAGTGTTGCTCTGTTGCCAGGCTGAAGTGCAGTGGCACGATCTTGGCTCACTGCAATCTCCGTCTCCCAGGTTCAGGCAATTCTGCCTCAAACTCCTAAGTAGCTGGGACTACAGCCATGCACCACCACACCCAGCTAATTTTTGTATTTTTAGTAGAGACAGGGTTTCACTATGTTGGCCAGGATGGTCTCGATCTCTCGACCTTGTGCTCAGCCTGCCTTGGTCTCCCAAAGTGCTGGGATTACAGGCGTGAGCCACGGTGTCCAGCCAATGTCTGCCTTCCTTTTAGGTCCTGCGCTGCATGGACACTGCCCAGTCCCTATCTGTGCCCTTCACTCCTTCCCACAGCCTGGCCCAAGGATGCCTCCTCCTAGCTCTCCTCACCATCCCTGAAGGCTTCAGTGTGTCCATTTCGTAAGCCTTCTTCATCTTAGGGCTGGACCCACATCACAGTCTATGAACTTCTTTTCCTTTCTCCTCTGTCTCTTTGTCATGAGATTCCCCAGAGCTAGCTGGAGTCACTTCTCCAGAAAAAAGTCTTACTCCTTAGTCCCACTGACTAGAGGGACTAGTCAGTATGACAGATGCCATGTTGGTCGCAATGCACAGAGACACCACTACCTTGGCGATCATATGCCTTGGTGAGCAGCAGGGTCATTCATCTTAAGAAGGCAATGGCTCATCTCCTCTCACCCATTCCGCAAGCACTTACTGAGCACCTGCGGTATGCCAGGCACAACGAATAGACGTGGATAAGTGATAGTACTTGCCTTCATCAAACTTAAAATCTAATAGAGACAAACATGAGAAAAAGAGCAACAGTGGGTTATCTCTGCTAGGACACAAGCCTGTAAAGAGCCAATGGGGCCACTAAGGGGGCAGGAATGATTCAGTTGTGAGGGTCAGGCTGAGGAGTTGGGAAAGGTTTCATGAAGAGACAGGCTATGCTAATTCTTGGAAGATCAAAGAGTCCTCCCCAGATTAGGCCTGTGTCAGGGAGGGCAGGAGATGGCAGGAGACTGTTTTGCCTGGCATTTAGGACGACCGTGAGCAGCCTAGCGGCACACCCAGAAAATGCAGGTTGAAGGTGATGGAGAGTGGAAAGGTAATAGTGGTGATCTGGGCAGACATGGAAGTCTGCTTGGAGATGGGGCACACTGGAGCCGGGGTCTAATAGGAGACCTTCTTCAGTACACTTGGAAAGGTTCTAAGGGTAAATTGATCATGTTTGTGTTTTAGGAAAGGCAAAATGGATCATATTTGTAAACTGATCATATTTATGTTTTAGGAAGATCACTTTGTTGAACCAAGTGAATTTGAACTTTGTACAGAGGCTGTTGGAGGAGGACAAGACTGGTTATAAGGAAACCAAAGAGGAGGCAAAGCCTGTAGCCCAGGCAAGATAGGAGGAGGACCCAACCTCAGGCAGCAGCAATGTGAAGGTGGAAAAGAGAAATAGATTCAAGATTTCAAAGAGGTAGGAATGACAAAATTGATCAGATATGGGAAATGAGGAAAGGGGATGGCCCCATATGATTCTAGGATAACCTTAGGTGACTAGCTACCTGGCAGTTTCATTCAGAAGACTAGGACGGGCAGTTTTGGGAAAAAGGAAATGATTTCCTTGGCCGGGCGCAGTGGCTCACGCCTGTAATCCCAGCACTTTGGGAGGCCAAGGTGGGTGGATCACCTGAGGTCAGGCGTTCACGACCAGCCTGGCCAACATGGCGAAACCCCGTCTCTATGAAAAATACAAAAATTAGCTGGGCTAGCCGGGTGCAGTGGCTCACACCTGTAATCCCTGCACTTTGGGAGGCTGGGGCAGGCAGATCACCTGAGGTCGGGAGTTCAAGACCAGCCTGACCAACCTGGAGAAACCGTGTCTCTACTAAAAATACAAAATTAGCCAGGTATGGTGGTGGGCACCTGTAATCTCAGCTACTTGGGAGCTGAGGCAGGAGAATCACCTGAACCCAGGAGGCAGAGGTTGCAGTGAGCCAAGATCACACCACTGCACTTCAGCCTGGGTGACAGAG